GAAAGGGGCAGGGGAGTGAAGCTGGTGGAGGGATTGGCAGAGAGGGGCTGGGGATGGAATCTGGTGGATGGATTGGCAGAGAGGGGCAGAGGATGGAAGCCAATGGAGAGATCGGCAGAGAAGGGAGCGAGACACTGCACGGTTGGTAAGTTGGATGAATCTGGGAACAGCATATAGGATTGCCTGTGTAGAGGTAGACCAACGAGGAGGGAGTTGTAAAAATCAGGGCAAGAGATAACAAGGAAGTGAACATTTATCGTGGTGGTATCATTGGTTAAGGAGGAGTATATTTTGGAATTGTTAGAGAGGTAAAGGTGGCAAGATTAAGACAGTGGTGGAAGTGGGGCTTGAAGGAGAGGGCAGAGCCCAAGGCTACATCTAACACTTCGTCATGAGGGGAGGGACTGATGTTTTTCCTTGGTTCTCGATAGAAAGTGTGTGTGTGGTTAGTTGAGGTGATAAGTTGAAAAGTAGAGTGATGGACATGGTATTGAAAGCCATGGGAGGCAACCAACTGACGAAGGGGGGGGGGGGAAGTGTAGATAAACAAAAGAAGAGATAAGAGGACAGAACCTGGGGGACTTTCCTCTTATGTAATTAAGGAACACTTAATTACATAGGAGGAGAACCAAGTAAAAGCAGAGTCTTGTAGGCCAAGGGATCGGAGTTTATTAGGGCAAAGGGGGTGGTCAACTGTATCAAAGAAAGCAGAATGGTCTACTAGTATGAGCACAGAGTATTTGTTTTCGGTTTTCACAGTTAGTAAGTCATTGGTGAGTTTTAAAAGGGCAGTTTCTGTGCAATGTTGTGAGCAGAAGCCTGACTGTCAGTGTCAAAAATTTTGTTGTCAGTGAGGTAGTGGTTCAGATGGTTGTAGACTAGGCATTCTAGAACCGCGTAGGTAAATGGAAGCAAGGAGCTAGGTCTTAAAAGAGAACTATGAGGGGGGTGCTTTTCACTCACCTCATAGTTCTAGCCGAACTGTGACAATGAGACTGTCACAGGTCGGCTCAGTAGATCGGGAAGTGAGCGAACACATACCGGCGTTCGCTCACCTCTCGATCCTGTCACGGCTCTCTGCCTTGACAGGGGAGGGGCTGGATTCCCCCTCCCCGCTCCGATCCTCCAGCGCTGCCTGGCGGAACGGACGGGGGAGGGGGCGGGTACAGCTGGCTCTGCCTCTCGATAGGCAGAGCCAGCTGTCACTCACGCAGCTGGGCGGATCCCGGCACAATTGTCGGGATCCGCTTCACCTGCTGCGTCTCAGTATACCGCAAGCTGTAGCTCGCGGTATACTGAGCTTAGTGTGACGGGAGGACGCTAGTTTGTGTCCTCCCTCTACCCTAAGGAGAACTATGGGAAAAAGCCCTAACCCCATAGTTCTCCTTTAAGTTGTTCAGACTGGTGGTGTCTAGCATGTGGTTATTAGGAATGGGTGAGAATGGTGCATGTTTCACGGGAGAGGGGAAAATGGGCAACCCTAATCCTAGGTAAGAGTGTCTAGAAATGAGCAAGGGGGTGACCAGAGTAGTTGTAAGAGGATGGGTTGGTGGGCATCAGAGAAAAATTTAGCCACTTCTCTATAGTAACAGGTAAAAGAGGAAAGTTTTGAGTGTGGTGGTTGACATGGTATGTTAGGTGGGGGAGATATCCGGATCACGAATAGCATCTAGTTTGTTTTTCAAATGATTGGTGCTTACTCAAGAACATGGCTATATTTTTAGAGACTTCTGGTGTCTTCTGTTTGCCAGGGTTGTAGCAATTAAGGCCTAATGTTGTATGCAGTGAGAGGACTGAGTGTCCACGGAGGATGAGAGTAAGCTTTTGTAGATGGTGGCACCATGGGGTGTGTACACTTATTTTAAACGTCTTACTGTATGTGCACTCAGGGAGACTCTTCAGTCAGGGGGATGCACTGCCTCCAGGCATTGACTCTAGCTCCAAGTCAGGTCACTGCTCCACCCCCTGGCTTCACACAGTGTAATGCCAGATTCTCAGCAGCCAATCAGGAGGGCACCTGTGTTGCATGTCAGGAG